TTAGTAAATTTATACCTGGATAAAATCAGAAGAGTTCTCACAAGATTTCATCATAACATATGGAGTATAATCACAAATTTCTTTAGGAGGCTTTCCTATATATCCAGAGTTGGAAATCGCCAATGAAACAAAGACTCCACAGCCAAGATGCAATAATTGATCAAACAAAAATTGAGATGGTCTTCTATAAACTTGCACTAAAGCTCGTCCAAGTAATAGGTAAAATGCATAAAATATGTTTGGAGTATTTCGAATTTCATCATCTTTGCATATTAGTGATGTAAATAAGCTTTTAAGAGTTGAATAAATCTCTAAAATCACGTCAACGATATATGAAATACAATCTTCCAACATATTAATAAATTGATTTTGTACTGTAAGTTTATTTTCAGTGTTTGATCTACTCGCAGAACCGCCTCTAGATGTGTTCACCATTATATAATCTTGCGGGCTATAAATAAATAATTAATAAATTGTGAATTTTTTAGCAACATTGCGAATAAAATTATACCCTTCTTCAGCCCCTCTTGGATTGCGACTATTAAAGTCTTCTATTACATATTTTGTACGTCCAGAAAACTCAGATTTTCCTTCCTCATTTAATACCAAAACGTCATCAAACGTTTTAAAGACTTTCTGAGATGGTGAATGGACAATCGCCACTATCGTTATATTTTGTATTTCAGCGATATATTTCAGCATTTTGCATACTTCATACGACATAACTGAATCAAGTCCTGAGGTTGGTTCATCCTAATATCAAAAGGTTAATAAAATAAAAAAAACACTATGTATAAGCCAAAATTCTGAATAATTACCAAGAAAAGTATAGATGGTTCAGCAACTAATTCCATTCCGATGTTTACACGTTTGCGTTCTCCGCCAGAGATACCACGCTTTTCTGTTCACATTATAATACAACGATTATTAATAGAATTTCCTAAGTGTCAGTTATATTGAAGACATTTACCCTCATCTCCGATTTCATCATTAAGTACGTGATCTAGCTTTAAAAATTTAATCACTTCCATTGCTTTCCTTTTTTTATCCTCCACTGGCATGTCAGTTGGCAAACGCATTAACGCCGAATGCTATTATTAAACAAATTTACATTTATATACAGAAAACATAAAGTATTACTCTTTAAATTATAAAGAGCTTACCACCAAGATTTCTCGAACAGTTAATTTACGTATCATTATATCTATCAAAGTATATCATACTGGTGTTTAATATTTATATTGTGATGAAGTCTATCATTATGGATACAAATAATGAACCTTCTTGTGGTACAAAGCCAACAAGCTTTCTATATTTTGCCAAAGAAACCTTTTCATCATTAACTATGTTCAAGATTTATTATTTCGTAAGCACACACTTCATAAAATCATAATATCTGATATAATATATGATTATATAAAAAAAAAAAAAATTTTTTTAATTAACCTTTTAGTTCTCCATTTGTTGCTTTAATTTTTCCGGCTAAAATTGATATCAAAGTGCTTTTACCAGAACCTTTTTAATGCAATACATAATACGATTATTGACGTTAATATTAATAATTTTGCATCTCAATAATGAATAAACTGTTTATCACCAACCTGATGGGCCCATAATCGCGCAAGTCCTTCCAGGTAAAAATAATCCCGAAACCCCCTTGAATATATATAAGAAAATAGATCATAACGAACGAGTCACAATTCTCACTATAGAAAAAAAACGCAACACTCACATTCAGAGGAGTTTTACCGTTACGTAATTGTAATGTTAGATTATTAAATTCGACACTGATATTAATAGACTTTGAACCCCTAGTACGCAAAAGATCCTCTTTGTCTTGATTTGCAAGATCATTCAATATATTATCGTATTCGACATTTTTCTTATTAACAAATCTTTTTTTGCAATGAAACAACCCGATAATCACAATTATAAAACCAATCACTATTATGGCAACAAAATATTTGTTTTGCTTTATTGAGCCAGGAGGACAGATTGCTAGTGTACAGGGTACCGGATTAATTGTACCAAGAGTACAAAAATGGCCTAAAAATCGAAATGAGCGATTTAATTAAAAATAGAAGGCTAGCATTTTAGTTTCTTTCCTTGTGAAAGTATACCTTCGGGGCATAATTGTATGCTTTTTGTATCTTCAGAACAATAGAATCCTTGGCAACAATAATTTGGTTGTGCTGTAATTGAAAAAATGAATATCACTTAAGTGCGTATTATATACTTAGATTATGGAAAGAATTAAAAGTCTAAAAAAACTCATGGGCAGGGTTGCCAACTTTACAATTAGGTGCTTTTACTTCAACACACTGTGAAATATTAACAAGGAAATTTTCCTGAGAATACAAACAATATAATATAGCCAAATCTATATATGTGACTTGGTGCTGAGAAAAGGGACCAAATTAACAAAAATCAATTTTGCGGAAAATTGATTTTTATATTATGACTTCTATAATAAATTATAATAAAATACAATTTTTAAATGATTATGCGACAAAATTTTATTATTGGTTTTTTAAGTAAAAAAATGTTTCTGAGTTAATTTTGGTTTAGTTTAAAAAAAAAAAATTTTTGAGAAAATTGTCAATTTGGTCCCTTAGCACCTAGCCCATGTCTATACAATTTTTTTTTCAAAAAATTATTAGTATGAAGCTCGGTATAAATTACTCTATAAGGATTTTTTTTTTTACAAGAACGGCTAGTTCGCCATAAAAAGAGTCAACTGCATTTCTGCAGACTTTTAAGCTCCGATGAATCATTTCCAATTATGTAGGCATAGTAGCTCTTCAAACAATCACATAATAGCTTATAATAAATAACTTACCGGAATTTTCAGGACAAAAAAACCCAGGAGTACAGTCAAATTGTTTATTGAAATTGGGACAAAAATGACTATGCAATATATGAAGTTCAAAATTAATCAAGTATAACGATAATACTAATCACAAATCAACTGTATACTACAAATAAGTAGTATAATTAAATACCCAGCAGGGCAATTCCAAGTAATTAGTTGTCCATTAACCGTAACATTATCCTCTTTTTGGGGCGTTGAAATGTAAATGCACTTTTCGCCATTTACATTTTCCTAACAAATCGATCAAAGAAATTATAAGCATTTGCATAAATACTTTCACATTCAATTGCATTAACACATTTAACTGCATTAACACATTTAGTGCATTTCAGGAAAAGATTCTATTGACACACTACTCCTGCGTTAGATGTTTTCACTGTTGAATAAAGTAGAGGGTCTAATAATCTTAATGTATTCGTTGTTGAATTCTTTTGTGACATTAAAGGAGTTGGTAAAATTGTAAAGCATAGTGAAAAAAGAAATATTGGCCGTAGCAAAGCGAATTGAATTGAAACTTTCATAAGTATACTCAATTAAGATGTTAAAGACAAGAGATCGATCAATTATCATTGTTTGAATCGTTGTTTGGTGATAAATTTATAAAGTTTGCTTGCATTGTTATATTTCCTAATTTACACATACGGAAAGTATCTCCGTAGTCAACTCACGACAGTAATTTTACCGAATGCTCATTTAGCCGACATCACATAGGGTTAGGGTTAAACATTTGATTAGCTGCAAGTATATATTTTTACTAAATTTCACCTGGCGTGATGTCGGCGAAATGATTATCGGTGAAATAATACGGACCCTTCCGTAGACTTTAATTTTTAAACAAATAGAATAGGTAAATTGGCTTTACTTATTTGTGCCAGTAATACAACCCAAAAAAGGAAATTTAATTTTGTAAATAAACAAAGTGCGTAAAAACACAAATTTAGGGTTAGGTTGTTAATATTAGAAGCTATAGCTATAGACTATTGCTCGTTAGATGTAAAATTTCGTTCCCAACATTTTTAATTAGTGTATCAAATTCTAGTATTTTCGCTTTTTTGTTCGGAATTCATGTTGGGCTGATCCGGAAAGATCAAAATTTGAACTCACTGATTGGCTATTTCCTTTTTAGGAGTTTGTATTACTCGCACAAATAATAGATAGCATAATATGCGCATAAACCCAATTTTTATCGCATAGCATATGTGATCGCATATTTCACATAATAAAGAATAAATCGCATAATTGTTTAAATATGCAAAGGGCATAATCTGCGCATAAATGACACTTATTTACAACCGTATTGTGCGAGATAATGCCCACGTGCGCATTATTTGAGTATATGCGCGCTATTTAGAGTACACTCAGCGTTGAAAATTCGCTGTGCAAAATTAACAATGGGCTGTGCAAATTGCACAAAAAATGCACAGCATATTTGTGCCGAATTTTCAATACTGGGTATACGCGTGGGCGTTATTTTGAGACAAAAACAAAATTTCTTTAAAGCCTGCCTACTATAATATCTAATTCTTATCGAAGCCCTAATATGGAGTGCATGTCATTTGAGACACTCATGGGCGTTATTTTGATGCTACTTTGGGGACGTAATTTTCTAAATAATGCCCATTCCCATTATTTCGCGACAATATGATAATAAAAAATAAATCATATAATCATTTAAATATTCAAAGAGCATAATTGCGCATAAGGTGGTGTTTATTTATAATATCGCAATAAACTTTCAAAAATTTTGATAACAATAATGGTTTCTTCAACTGAACGCAGACTCGAGAATGCTGAATATAAAAAAAATTTTTATGTTGATGGTCAAAAAATGTTTTGTGAATTTTGTAAACATGTCATTGACCATACAAAGAAATCTACAGTAGATTCGCACTTAAAATCTGATAAACATAAGAATAATGTTGTTAATGCTGAAAAATCTAAATTAACTCATCAAACTACTCTTGACATGGCTGTTACTAACATAAGTGAACAAGAGCAAATTAATATTGCATTAGTGAATGCATTTACTAAAGCCAATATTCCTCTCGAAAAAATAGATAAAAGTTTTTTTTAGAACATTGTTAAAATGGTAATTATTTATTATATAATAAATTTTAAATTAAAAAAAATTAATACAATCTTAATTTTAATTAGGTGGTGCTATCATGAGTTCAGATCAACTTTGTTGTAAATATTTGCCACAGGTATTCAAAATAGAAGTTTCAAAGTTACACGATTCTTTAAAAGACAAATGAATTTCTATTACTATAGATGAAACTACAGATACATGCAATAGAGCTGTAGTTAATATATTATTTAGTTTTAATAATCAAACTAAATTAGTTAAACCAAAATTTATAACTACAGCTAATAGTACTTCTATTGCTTAATTAGTTATGAAAGCCTTACAATTCTATAATATTTCATATGAAAATTTTATTTTTTTTATTTCTGACAACGCAGCATATATGATAAAGGCTTTTTAAATTATATCGCCATTAATTCCTCAACTAAGACATAATCGTTGTTTGGCCCATATTTTAAATTTAATTAGGGAAACATGGGTTAATTATAAAAATTTTCAATTTTTAGTTAATATTGTAAAAAATATTAAAGCTTTATTTGTTCATACTCTAACATATAAACACATTGGATTAGTTTTTTAAAATGTAGCATAACCAGTTCTGATATCGATCAAATTACTTTACCTTCATTACCCATCAAAACTCATTGGAATTCTTGGTTTAAATTTGTTTTTTAGATTAATCGTTATATTAAGCAATTGTGTTTATTTTATATTGAAGAAGAATAGGTTAATAACGAGAGTCAAGCAATTCAAGAATTGGCAAAAATTTTTAAAAATAACTCAAATACTTTATTTTTGAAATCTTAACGATGTTTATATCATTTAATGCAATGCGGTAAGCTTTATTATTTTAATTTTTATAAATTATTAATTTAACCTTAATTTATTTTTAGTCTTGTAGAAGATCTAGAATTTTTTGAAATTAGAAATAAACCTATTGCACCATTTGTAACACAACATTTAATGCATCTTGAAGCTTCATTGCAATCGGGCATTATTGAACCCCCTTAGTGAAGAGATAAACTTAAATTCGAAAAAAATTATATTAGAATAGAAATATATAACATAATATTTAGTGAAGCATATCAATTAGCATTTGATAAGTTAAAAAAACATCTTGATCAGCATTCCGCATTGCCTTTATTCAAGACAATTCAATGCTTTGATCCACGATATATTAATGTCCAACAACATCATCAAAATATCTACTTGTACTCTGAAATTCAAGAATTCAAATCACCAACCAATCAAATTATTCAAGAGTGGGGTATTTATTGTGGTTTAAACGAAGATTTTTCAGATATTGAAGAACTTGATTTAGATATTTATTGGAAAGGCAAAACTTGAAGCTTACCCAATTTATCAAATCTTGCATTAGATTATATTTGGCTTCTGGTATCTGGTGTGGACGTAGAACAAAGTTTTTCTTTATATAAAAATGTTCTTGATGACAACTGACATACATTTTCTGAAACTTCAGTCGCAACATTAAATTTTATGTATTTCAATAACAAATAATATAGAGTAGATTAAAATTTTACTGTCTAATAACATTAAACACTACAACGGCAGTAATTATTATAATAAATTCATTTTATTTTATTAGTTTTTTAAAATTTATTCACATATAAAGTGGTCACATATTTTTACTTGAGTCGCATAATTCGCATAATTTGTAGCATATTTCTAAAAAATTTATCGCATAATTTCGCATAAATGGACTTTTGAAGAAAGCAGATTTTGGGATCTGTCGCAGCAGATAGTCGGTGACCCTAAGCATAGGTAAATTTGTCTCTGATGTTCAATTATTAGATTTTATTTTTATCTATTATTACTATTAATTTATTTATAAACCGTGTAACATGATCAGAAAATGAGAAAACGTTAGTTCGTATACAAATAAGATATTACATCCATAAAATAATAAATATTGGAAAATATTACTTTTAAAATTTGGCGTCAGAATTCTTTTACTTTACAAGGTTAGTGAAAAAGTTTGAAGCATACTAGTTTGGATCAGTGTATTAGATACAACGACAAACCCAGATTAGGGCACATTGACTTTATTGGTTAAATAAGATAAGCTACTGCAAAAAATTATGATTTTTAAGGTCAAAATTTTTAAAATTATTTTTGATCACTATTAAAATGTTACGAGGAATGAATTTATCTAGAACTTAGAACCGGTTTTATTTTCATATTAAAACCGGGTCTAACACATGAAAAATAAAGCCTACTCCAAACTCTAGTTTTATCTTGAAAATTTTAAAAGTACACGATCTGTAGGTGGAGGAAATTAAATTTGACTTTTTGATAACAGATAACAGTTAATATTGTAGTATATATCTTTCTATCCTTTTCAACTCCAATTCCATTTCAATAACAATATTCATTCCACCAGCGTACCCATCTTTCAGAATTTGATAATAAATGAATACCTTATTCATCTTTTTCAATTCCAATTCTTTTATCATAACAATATCCAACACTATTCATTCCACTAGCGTCCCCAATCTCTACAGATTTTTGATATTAAATGAATGCCCTATGCTCATCCTTTTCAACCCATTTACCATAACGATTAAAAATGGTTTGAACAATAAGATCGAATTGATTATCTAAGCAATACTTGATAATATTATCCGGATTTTCTTTTTTTATTTTATTAGAAATTGTTCTAATAGTCAGAAATTAAATCGGAAGTTTTGTCTTTCAATCTTTCTTCATTATATTGATTATACATTTCTTTAAGGAATTTATTCAAGAATATCTTGTAAAAAATCTTGTGATTTGTTATTTTTCCAAATACATTGGGTAACACTGTTAGCTATTTGAGGAATTATTGATGTTTTTATGTTGCTTTTCAAATAGGTTATTATTAATTGACATTTTGACGCAAAAATTAATGTGCTATAGAAGTACGGTGTAAAAAATCTAAAAATCACCGTTGCACCTATAAAGACTAAGCACCATATTTTCACCACCTGCCTCTTACTATATTTTCAGAGCTGTTCAGTTTTTAAAATAACACTCATATTAGC